CTTACCAATTAGATCTCATTGTGGTTTCAATTTATGATAGAATTCATTCGTAAATTGCTTATTAAAAAAGATCTGTAACTGTATTGTAAGAATATAATAAGACACCATTTATTTACTCATTTAGGGCTCAGAATCATAAATAACCAAAGATATGTAAAGAGGATGATTTTTAAAATGTTTACTTTAAAAATGAACATGTATGATTTTACTGTTAGCCAGAAACTCAGTTTTGATAAAATGTGATCAAAATTTAGTTATTTTTCTGCTTCTTTTTTCAAGTTTTGTTATTTATGTAACACAAACGTCCGGTTCGATTCAAAATACATAATTTTACAGCATGATGGAAAACAAACATGAAAATGCAATGATATGATCATAATTTAACGTGAAATATCATCTTTTTATCAGCATTAACAATTAATTAAGAGATGTAAAGAATTAAAAATACTAGTAAATATTATTATAATTTGCATTTTTACATTAAATAATATATCAAATAAACAAATATGACAGAAGTATTTTGATTTACGAGTTTACGCATTTTTTTAATTTTATCATTTTGATGCTGTTTCGTAGACATTAATACATTCTATTAAGTGGCAGAGTGTGATAGTAACCTTTTAAATGTTTGTATGCTTTCTAAATATGCAAAACAGTATTTTTTGAATATCCAACAAAGTATTAAGAACTAAAAAGTATGCGTAATATGAAGTGAAATAGTTTGAAATCTATTGATACAGTATCATATATACCAATATGAGAATTTTTTGTCATTTTTTGTATGCATACTTTCAACAACTTTTAGTGTATTAAAAACGTTTGGCGCTTTTATAACAATAAGTCATCAAACTATGTTTACTCTAATACAAATGTGAGAATGCCTTAAATCATTTTTTGACAATATTTTTTCTTTAAAAAGTAGCAATTTTTTCCGGAAAAAAACTCATGTATTGCACTCACAAGATTAATATTATTTTTTTTATTAAAAAAAGGCATGCGCACGACCGAGTTTTTATGACATGATGTATCTTGAAATTCTTTTTATTGGCAATGAATACATTCCCAGAGGAATAATTTGAATTTCCATATTTCAACAAAAACATGATTCTAACCTAATGACGAAAATGAACCGAAAGACGAAGTTATGAAATCTAATTATTAAGATTGCATTAGCTTTTATGGTCCCGTGTCATTTTCCAAAGTACACTGATGACCTATTTGAAGTAATTGGTATAAGTTCCGAGTTTTCTTTCGAAAACTAAGGATTATTCATTTTAGTCGTTTTATTTAATTTACACCGTTCCTTCCTTTTAGAGGTGTGTTTGTTTAAAATAACATTCGGGGGAAAGTTACTATCGATCATTAACTTTTAAAATTTTCGTTGTTTAAAATAACTATTGCAAGAATTATACATTTCGTGGCAGTTAGTAAAACGTACTGAAATAAGAAAGTGGGGAATTGATATAAATTGAATTTTATGTTATATCATTTTTTTCTTTTTACTATTTAGTAGTTCTTTTTTAAATTACATTACAGTGTAAAAACGTCAGAGCTTGTAATTGTTCTTGTTGGGTCAAAAAACCTCTAATGAAAATAAGTTTTGTTTCAATACATGAAAATTAATATTATATTATACTTTTATAACCTGGTATTTGAATGTTTGATAATCGATCATTAATTTGTACCAACAATGCAGCCAGATTGTATTTTTATTTCACAATACTGTTCTTGTAATTTATATTTTTTGTATATCAGTCAGTAATCTGAAATCAAGCAAAATGTGACACAAAAATCGAAACAAAGATATAGTCATATCAATTCATATCTATCATTCGGTCAATACATAACTAAAATTGATAAAACAGATAGTATATGTTCCGTTCTTGAGGAGTACAATTCTTGCATTTGGACAAAGTAATTTCTCTTAACTGTGAGCGCAATATATACATGTATATTTTTTTTTAAAAACGTGCAGATTTATTTGTTGCTTAGTCATACATATGTCAAGGGCATTGTCATGAATTCAGGTCAAAGTCATTGTCGTGAATTTAGGTCAACGTCATAGTCATGTATCCAGGTCAGGTTCATTTTCAACGGCACAATTTTATTAGTACATATATATGAAAACCTATACGATTACACTTTTAATCGTCAGTTCAAGGTCGATGAAAAAAAAATTGAAATTGAAATATAGAAATAGACAAGTCATTTTATAAGTATCGACATTGAAATACCATACAATGTACATGTTCGGTTGAAATTAAAATAAGAAATAAGAAAATAATACGTATTCCACAGTCGTGAATAATGATAATACTAATATCACGAGTGTTCAGTACGCGCCTATGTCTATCCATCTTAAGGAATAACTATTTTGCCTGTACCTGACTATATTAAGAAATAATTCTTATTTGAAGATAAAGAAACAAGATGTCAAGCCAGCAAATGAATAGGCTGTGGTCCTACTAAGTGTATCAACTTGCGCCTGAAATAAGGCTGGTAGGGGAATCTCAGATCTTCCTTCGCCAGCATAGTTGAATACTTGCCGAAAGACCTTGACTATGTCTATGTGTCTTAATACGCCAAACTAAATCAACATTTAAACTACTTTTGCTATCACGCATAGATAGTAAAAAAGAGTATAATCAAAATTAAAATATTGGGAAGAAAGAGATATGAATCGATTAACGCAAGTCTATTAAACGTAATTGTATTTCGCTGTCTAAGACTAAGATTTTATCCGCATCAACACCACATTATCCACATAATTACTTCTTACAAGGTAGAGAAACTAATTCCCTTTACTAAGTCCCAAAAGGTGTAAGGTGCTTACTTTCTTTAAAAACGGTGATTTGCTTCTTACAGCTCTTTTGTTGTTTTATCAGTTAAGTTAAAGCCTTTAATCTTATAACTTGAAATTTGTTCGACTATGGAACAGGATTCTGGTCAAACAAAGTCATTAAAAGAGAACAGAAGCAAGTGATATAAAGTGTTTTCTTGGCCCTTAGGATTTTTTTCTGATACTTTGGAACAATAAAAAAGTAGAACATAAATCTCTTTAATAAAATAATGTCTTCTATTCGAAAGAATATTGTCTAGTGAGGAATTTTAACTGGAATGCTCGCAATTAATATTGAATGAGCCACCAGTCATGAATTGTGATTGATAATGACTGCAATGATTAGCTAATGACCCAATGAATATTATACATTTTACAAGCCAAAATTGTGTGCAGTGATACACAAAAATATAGTAAAATTCAAGAAAATTCCAGTAAAACATTTATGTAAATGCAAAATGAAAATAAGTCGGAAATACTTTATTGTTTTAATTGTTAAAGTGTGTGATATAAAGGACAGTTAAATTTTCAAAAATAGTTTTATCAAACAAAAAATACGTACACAAAAGATGGTGTTAATAGAATCTAACGTAAGTTCTGCAAAATAGAAATGACCCGTAGTATGTTTGATTAGATGAACTAAGAGTAAAAACGTTATTATTAACCAATGGTTGTACGTTAATAACGTAAATATCTACTCTAAAGACAAAAGAATATATATCGACCAAAGATAACATCTTTATTATCAAACTATGTCAGCAAAATAAAGTTGACAGAAAATAGTTAAACACAGGTTTTTGTTTCCTTTTTTGATATAACTATTTCACATAATTATACAAACTATTGTTATGGGAAATCTAGCCAACTAATGACTATAAGAAAATGAAATCAACAATTGCAGATCGACTAGTCTGTTTGGATTAATGAACAATAATGAGACATCAAAGAAACAAAATAGTCAAGATTCATTGAATTGTCTTGTATATAATATTATTTTATCATAAAGTTTTTACTCTTTACTTAAGAATAAGTAGCAGGCTTTGAATTTCTTACTATCCTTTCTAATAACCATTTTTTGCTTAGGTTTCATAGCATTGCTAATTGCTATAGATTTACTTTAACTCAGATATGTTTTTAAACCATTTAAACGAAGGAAAACGCAATGTTTTATATTAAAAGTACGTAATTTGCATTATTTTTTACTATTTGTACAAAAAAAATGATTTGTGACTGAATCGATCTATATTCAACATTATGTCAGGCAGAAAGTTAACATATTAATTTGACAATTCGTTTCAAAGCTAATCATATTACCCTCCGAGAGAGAAATCGACATTTAACGTTATTAGGTATTCCATTTCGATCAACAACTCAGTTTTTCACGACAAAATCAGTTCATTACAAGATGTTAGACAAATGGTGCTCAGTCCTCGTGGGAAATTGCATGCAAAGTTTTTTTTATGAATTTAAGATGATGATCATCGACTTTGTTGTATTTACTTTCATTTAACGCTAAAGATGTTTTAAAAAAAATCATGTTTGTAAATTAAAGTAACATAATCAACGACTCGCTATATTTAGCTGCACTTTGTTAACAGTATTAGACATTGAAATGAGAAATGTAAGGGTTTCAGAAGAAAACACCAAACGCATGTTCTACACTGAGAATATAAATATACAAAAACGAACAAATTATATAGAATATTAATAATTATATACAAACCCTTTTTCATTAGAAATGCATAAAGAGCCACAATAACTGCAACTAAAGAAAACCTGATTTTAGTCATTGTTGTTTGTTGGTGTTGTCTTGTACTTCTGTTGTAGGAATAATGTAAATAGACTATATTAAGTACATACTATTTACACACACTATTTACATAGAAAAGAAAGACATTGCGTGTTTTGTATTGTATTCAGCAATCTTACTACATATTTCTATCATTTCATGCAATTTTAATTTTCTTTAAACAGGGTATAATAATTAGTAATTAAATTGTTGCTTTAGAGTGTAATTATGAATTTTGTGAATATTAGATATTAGGCCTATCCTTAATTATATTTCTAAATGTAAATCACTCTTCATGTGGAAAAAAATACTCGTAGTAATCATTTAACCATTGAAAGAAAAATCATTTTTAAATTCTTGTTTAATTTTCAGATTTTACCCTTATGCTCCAAGATGTTTGGGCGTGGCAGCTAAAAGAAGCCCATCGAGATCGGATATATATCAAAGTTTAATAAATAGGTAAAATTCTTTTATTTCTTTCAAACAAAATTCTTTGTCAATTCAAGAGAGAAGTTTAATACGTAAAACGTAAATAAATGGAAAATGCATTCGCAGGTTAATTAGACTGAATTTGTCTTTTCAATTTAAAAAGTCGATTTTCATTAACTGTTCAAAAAGGCAAGGCAAACGCTAAGCTTTTTTATGTTTTAGTGAATATTTGAAATTTAAAGAAAGATTATCATACTTATGTTGTAATTGGATTTTACAATTATTAAATGAAAGATTTGTTGCTTTGGAATTTTGTTTAACTACCGGTTATTAAATACGGACACAAAACACTAAATGAGCCCTTGAAACAATTCAGTGACTAATATAAATTTTAAATATTTAATGAAACATATTTTAATATAATCGGTCTCACGAGTCATTGTTATAATTTTGAAGAAGATGTACATACAAGTATTATTCTATATTTTAGAGTTTTGGCAGAAGCTGTCGGAGAAAACTTTTCTAAAGAGCCTGTACTAACATCCACTCAGCCCGAAATGTATGGCGAAAAGGCTGCAACATTAAGCAAACTTGCTAATTTGGTCTTAGCGGCAGAGAGAAAACATGATGCAAGAAATAAGTTTTCGGTAAGTGAATATAGAACGTCATTTTAGGTAAATACTTACAAAAAATTATACGTAAAGACTCCGATGGAACATAACGTCGTTCTGAAAACATCCGAAAAAAATAATTTTGAAAAATCGCTCAAAACCATTGCTATCATTGTGAACTATTTTAATCGTATTTTGAACGTAATAAAATACGTTGTCTAATGTATTGTTCGTACTGTATATTTTCAGGACACGGCCGACAGTTGGTCGCAACAGTTTGAAGATTATGAAAATGAAAGGGGTGTATAGTAAACCTATACTTCTTGCGGCAGTGTACAAGTGTGAAACACACTTTTAAATGTGTAAATGAAGATAACGCCTAACAGGAGAAACAAATTGCTAATCTTTGGGAAAGAATAACTCTTAACATTCTTCTTGATTTTATATTCTTTAAAGTGTTACTTTTCACACAGATCTTGAACTTTTATCTTTCAAGACTTATTTCGATAAAGTGATTTCAAAATAAGAAACTTTAAGGTCAAAATGAAATAACGCCATCTTTATTTCTTGCTGGTGTCTTATATAGTTCATAGGTTCGGAGGCATAATTTCGAGGTTAACAATACTACAGCTTTTACTGTTGATGTATATTCAAAACATATGGAAACCTCTTCAATGTGTGGTATAAGACTTTCTTTATCGTTGGACTCGGCGGATAAAAGTTTCTATTCGATGTTTAGATTATGGTAAACGTTCTTTAGAAAATTTAGACGGAAACAAATGCTGGACAATTACTTATCATAAAACAAGTTTAACTGATTTCACATTTGGAAAAAAATACAATTTTAAACAATTTGAAACATCTAAAAATGAAGGTTTTCTCGATAACGCCTTTCTTTAGGCTTTAAGAAACGCATTGTCAACTGCAATACATGTATATCTTTTAAATTTTGTTACACACGTAGCGTTTCTTTAAAACAATGTATATACTCTCAACGCGGACAAAGTTGACTATGTTAAAATAAAATATAAGGTATTTATATATAAATAGATTGACATCTAATACTTTGTCAGAAAAAAGGCATTGTATTAAAAAGTACTGTACAATTATTTCTGTATATCTTGGTGATTGAAATAAAATTGGGTAATTACGTTTTCTAAATTGTTTTTGATATGTTCTTGCTCATCCCTAACATTATTTATAGATTTACTTGTATTAGATTTGATGAATAGATACGCTTAACATAAAAAGGAGAAACCATGTTGAAAGTAAAATTTATGTCCCATTGTTAGCTGCATAATAAGATAGTTGAGAGTTATATCAACACCATACAAATATAACAGAAGTTGAGGACACAAACAGCAAAAACTGGCAATGCACTACAAAGAAACAGACGTCATTGTTTTACATTAATGCTTGCAACCTTAAACGAACTTAGCTATAAGAATTACAATTATTCTTTTGTCCATACGCAATTTTTTTTTATAAGTTCAGCTGTGCTGAAGCATTTGTCTGTTCCGTTGTCCAGTTTTTATCGGAAAAAATGGTCGTTGCGTGAACCTTTCTGTCGTTTTAACTACACAGGCCTACCCGTGATTTTACGCTACAAAACATTCCTCCAGAACTTCGGTAAACTAGCAATGAACACGCCAGAAAAGATAATAGTTCTTAAAATATTAATAATCATTTAGATTATAAATTAAGAGTGTTGACTCTATTAAACTTTAAAGGCTTGTAACTCTGGTACAATTCGCGATTTAGCCCTGATACAAACAAGATCTTATCGTTTTCTCCTTTATTATTATTTTTTTGTGTTTCCTTAACCGCAATTCAAGAGCAGGGAAGATGCAATTCATATCAAATGGGCAATAGTTGATTTATGACTCCCCTGTTATGTAACGTAAGTAGTCCTCTTGAAATTAGAAGCGGAAATTATATCCCATTTGTGTGCCACTTCTTGAGACATTTCACGTTTTTAACCACAGAAAGTTTGTTGGTTTTTTCAAATGAGAAAAATATCAGAAAATAGGTACCGATAATTTGCTTGGATGAAAGAATTGAAAACGCAACGCTATGGTGATCGGTTCTGTCGGGAACGAGCAAAGCGAGTTCCCGATGTAAACGCATGTCAGAAGGTTAAGATTTCCAAGTTCTCTATCTAATTAAAAGGTTGATTATTTTTCTCACTAACTTTGATACATAGGAAACAAATTAAAACAAACAAAAAAACACATAAACAGTTAAACCACTTTAAATGAGCAATGAAAATTTTCCGGTTTGGAGCAGCGTTTCTGGACTTGACGTTTGAGAATTGGGAGGCAGCATTTTAACAATTCTTATGTAAATTAATTTGCCCAACAAATCAATGAAAATAATAATAAACTAGAACTCCGCGAGTCGGATGTGTCGCCTTGTGAACAATGTAGTTTAGGAGAAATGGCCAGGACAAAAATGAAATATGAAAAATAACAAAGGGCAATAACTAAAAAAGTAATAAGTGCAGAGCAGCAGTTTCTGTGCACTGCACTTCTTATCAATAAGATCTATCATTCTATGATGTTTCAAGTCCATAGCTTTCATACTTGAGGAGAAATGACCAGGACAAAAATAAAGTAAGAAAATCAACAAAGGGCAATAACTCAAAAAATAAGAAATGCAGAGTATCAGTTCTTATGCACTGCACTTTCTCTTAATGAAATCTATCATCCTATGAAGTTTCAAGTCCATAACTTTTATACTTTCGGAGAAATGGCCTGGACAAAAATTAAGTATGAAAATTAAGAAAGGTCCATAACTCAAAAAATAAGAAATGCAGAGTACCGATTCTTGTGCACTGCACTTCTTCTTAATGAGATCTATCATCCTATGAAGTTTCAAGTCCATAGCTTTTATACTTAAGGAGAAATGGCCCAGACAAAATTAAAGTATGAAAATAAACAAAGGGCAATAACTAAAAAAAAAAATAAGAAATGCAGAGTACCTGTTCTTGTGCACTGCACTTCTTCTTAATGAGACCTATCATCCTATGAAGTTTCAAGTCCATGGCTTTTATACATTAGGAGAAATGGCCCGGACAAAAATAAAGTATGAAAATTAACAAAGGGCAATAACTCAAAAATTAGGAAGTGCAGAGTACCGGTTCTTATGCACTGCACTTCTTCTTAATGAGATCTATCATCCTATGAAGTTTCAAGTCCATAGCTTTTTTAGTTGAAGAGAAATGGCTCGGACAAAATTAAAGTATGAAAGTTAACAAAGGGCAATAACTCAAAAAATAAGAACTGCAGAGTACCGGTCCTTGTGCACTGCACTTTGGGTTATTGAAAGAAGCATGCATACCAAGTTTGAAGTCAATCAGACTTATAGTGACTGAGTTATGCTCCGGACAAGCTTTAGGGGACGCCGACGCCGACAACGACGCCGCCGACACAGACGCCGCCGCCGACAAAAGTAACCCCTATATTTCACCTTTTCAAGGCGACACAATGAGGGCCAATGTCATATTTACCAACACATGAATAACCGTCGAACAGGTCAATATTGTTATTGAAGTTATCGTAAAGTGTATAAAGCTATATATATGCAGCAAAAATTATTGTTTAAATTTTAAATAATTAATACTTCCACAATCCTTGTATGAAAGAAATATGGTAGTGTATTGCCTTAACTGCGAATGGCGCAAAGAGTTAAAAGGTTAACACCTACTTTAAAAAGCAGCATAACGTTTTGTTCCAGAACATTTTATTCTGTTTACGTACAATGTTTATGTGTGTTAAATAACAGAGAAATTCTATCAAGAATAGACCATAATATGACGGAGACAACATTATTTACAACTGATTAATTTTATAAAAATATTCCATTAGATATAGCTTTATACCCTCTAAACTGTGTTAATTTTAGTAACAACCGGTGAATATGAAATATTTCTTCTCCTATTTGTACGCAGTCCGCTATTTGGTCACATCCGCATAAATGTTATTATTAATATGTTTAGGTGATTACAATATTCACATTTCAATACAATCTTTTAGTTCTTCTAAATAAGTTTCATTTTTGCATAAAGAGGAGAGGCTATCGCGTACATGAAAAGTAGTACAGCGCGTGAAGCATATGAGATAACAATACATTTTACTGTTTCCTTTAGTATCATTGGCGTATTATTACAACCCGTTAGTAAGAAAAAAAAATGTCATCTTCCAAAAATACATTCTCTTATACATAACTTTAGCGGGAAATGTTATGAAAGCTGAGATCCACATGAAAATGAGTGTAACAGTGTTTTGAAAATAAACGTTTTTTAAAGCCTATAAAGCTATATATCTGGAGATTTTTGGATTGCAAAGAAGAGTTGAACATGCATCAAATAATTGCAAATCAACTAGTAATAGAGAGGAAATATTTTGTTCTGGAATGTCATCCTGATTTTCATACAATATTTATGTGTGTTAAATAGCAGAGGCTGTTACAATCTATTCGAATAATAATCATAAGATTATGAAAAAAAGTCATTTTACTGTTTTTAAATTTTCCTTTTTTTCAAATTTAACCTTTAAGCATCTTACTCCATCCGTTATTCTTTTAAGTAATTTATTATGTAATGAAAAAATAACAGATGAAAATATTTATTTAACTAAGTTGTGAGATCCTTAGTTAGTAAGTTTGTAATTTTATCATGAACTTGAGTAACAAATTAAAAGTAACAAACATACTTGAAGATACTTCAGATAATACAGATAATTAATTTTGTTTTCATATTGATTTTCAAAACAATGACATTTTTTATTATTGATACTTAAATACAAAATATGGAAAAAAAACCACACTAAATACTTTTCGAAAAGTTCATTAAGTATATACATGTATATATAATGTATAAATAATGAAATAATTTATTAAAAAGATCAATATAATCTTAATCACAAACGAAATGTATCATTTAATTACTGACCAACCACATGCTACTTAATACCAATGTATCAATTACTAAAACAAAAAGGACAACTACCACTTTTCCCTTATGAAGCAAAAAACAAGTTTTCACTATCTTAATCAGATATCGCAGAGTAACTTGCGGCATTTGATGTTGTCATTACCATCAAATTTACCCTGAAGGCATAAAACTTTTCTACGTTTGTTGACTGCCCAGTGCTCCCGTGGGCATCAATTGAAAAGAATCTTTTTTCAGTATTTGAGTGATTCAATTTCGTCGACAAATTTTAGTCTAAACTATGCTATTAAAATGTTTTAAGGACCATGTAGATTCAGTGAGTGTTAACTTCTTTTGGTGTAATTTACTTTTTAACTTTTCATGACAGAGTTATCTAAATTACATTTGTTATACTGTATGACGTGAAAGTAAGTTATTTGAGATGGAATTTTTTGTTACACAAAAGAGGACAGTGTCATTTGTTTCCTTGTAATCAAGACGCAAATATATGGTCTTATTGTTAAATGTAATTATTTAAGTCTTTTATGAATTTATAGCTAGTATTTTGTTTAATGAGTGCTTGGTTATTGAAAATAATTGTCAAGATCTTTTGCATATAACTAAACTATACATAACTATATATCTGAATTTCTTAATTTAAATGTGAATAATTAAGACTAATTTCAAACGAAATTTTCAAAACAATTTTGTTTTGCAGTTAAATTTATTATCGGCTAGAACATTAGCTTTATAATTCAATATCTATAGATTCAATTATTAACTATTTATATTGTGACGTTAAACTCACTCAGTCGTTATAGTTAAATAAAAATCGAAACGGCTCGACTAAGTGGCATTTAAACTCAAATATTTTATGGTGTTCCATTTAGTGCGCAGTTGCACTAGTTCAACTTTTGTCGTCAACAAAGCAAGGGCAAATATATCATCAAAAAAGCTAACCAGAAAATGTGGAAACAAAGTTTGTCTCCCATGGGATTTTGCACAATTTCAAGAATCATCTTTGACACATCATATATATTTAGAAAGTACTCTCTAGAAAACAATAGAAAGAATCCTATAACAAGTGATCTCTCTGAAGTTAAATACAAATGATATAAACTAATATAAATTGAAACAATTTCTATTTGTTCTGTAAACTGAGAATTCTAACTCATGAAGTTCGTTCTCCGGAAATGAGGTCCTTATAAAATGGAAAGCAATTGCC